CTCAAATAAACAAATTAATTTAAAATAGAAAAAAGAAAAGAAAAGAAAGTGGCTATCTTGAAGACCCGCAGCATCATGGGAAATGATGACATCATCCAGGGGATCACGTTCAATGCAGAATTGCCTCCTCCCGGATCATCACCTTGTAAGCGTTACATACGCACACATAGGTCGTTGGAGGTGACTGAACAGTGAAAGCCTCTGGAGAGGAGGGTGACACATGTTTTCCTTGCCATTTTTCCTTTCTGTTCACATTTTGCCAATGTAATAAAACTGCCGAAAAATGTAAAATTCATTTCCCTTCCGCAAGTCGGAGCTAATAATCCCTCCTACTGCCTGTTGACACCAGTAGCGGGGATGAGCCGTTGTTCCATTCCACCCGGGCTCCAGTCAGACTGTGTGACCACACATCTGCCTTGTCTCTCAGGAGCAGTATGACAAGCCTGGAGAAGGACTCCTTTGAGAACACAGGTGGCATCCAGGAAGTCCAACAGTGGATAGCAGGACCTCAGCCAATGGACATTCCAACATCAGGAGGGGTTAGATGGTGAGAGCACGGTGCTCCTGGGGGAGGTACACAGCTCCTTTCTCTGGAACACTTCCCCATGCATCCACATGGGGATACCTGTGGACTCCAGTCAGATATGCTTGGCCTGAAGCATGCCCAGGTTGACTGCCCCAGCAGTGGCCCCCCCAGGTTGGGCCCCCAGTGGCTTTCTCAGGAAGGCAGAATTAGAACCAAGAGCGTCGTGATTCTTGAGGTCCCTGGAGCTTGGGTGCCAGACACATAAGCTGGGGAGCTGCTGGCCACGTGCACCTCTCGCAGGAGTCAGGAAATCAGAGAAGCTGTTGTGCAGAGACCGAGATTGAGAGAAAACCAGCAAGCAGGTGCACAGAGAGGAAGACAGGATCACAGGTGAGAGTGACGATTTGGGGTAACTTTTCAGTTCCTTGGCCTTGCCTCTTTTTGAGGGTCCCAGCATTCTTGCCCTTGGGTTCCTCTAAGTCCTCGACACCCTTATGCCTTACACCTGTATTCTGCTTAAGATCCGTATCAGTTTCCTAGGACTGCAGTAACAAATGAGCCCAATCCTGATGGCTTAAAACAATGGAAATTTATTCTCTCGCCATTCTAGAGGCCAGAAGTCTGAAATGGAGCTGTTGGCCAGGTTGGTTCCTTCTGGAGGCTCTTGGGAGAATCTGTTCCAGGTCTCTCTCTTACCTTCCCGATCTGCCTGCGATTCTTGGCATTCAATGGCTCACAGAAGCACCCTTCTGATCTCTGCCTCCAACTTTACTGGCGTTCTCCCTGTGTGCCTGTGTCTGTCCAAATGTCCCTCTTCTTATAAAGATATCCTAATTCAGGAGTTAAGACGACCTCATCTTAACTAAGATAGATTTGCAAAGACCCTATTTCCAATGAAGATCTCATTCTGAAGTTCCACGTGAGAATGAATTTTGGGGGTGTAATATTCAGCCCAGTACAAACTCTCTCAGGTTGGTCTCTGTTTTTTGAAACAACGAAAACAACACTCAGAATTAATACAGCGATCAGTATCAGACGTGAGGCATTGAAAGAAACAGCTTTTCAAGGAAAGTATTGAAACTGGGTGACCTGGGGCAGTGAAGGGTGATGAGGGTTCCCTGTCCATGGATGGACACCAGCAGCTCTTGAATGACTTTCAGGGGTCTCATGGGACTCAGAACACGGTAACAAAGGGCCCAGCATATTAGTACATGATTTACTTCTAGCAGCCTTCAGAAGGTGCTAGAAGAGGAGCTTTTGTTCAGTTCTGCACAAGACTACGGGCACGTATTTAGCGATGTGAAAGGAAATCTCTTCTCTCCTAGAGCCAGTGACAAACAAGCATCAGATAATCGTGCCGTTCCTACATGTCCTCAGCCCCATTCTCCGCCACACCCCATGTCTAACACTAAGGTTAGCGCACAAAACCGAAAACTCCGGGAGCTCAGCATTGGACTAGGGATATCTGGGAAGAGCCACAGGAGTGAGTAACCCCTAACCTCTGGTCCTTTAGTCTCTCATTGTCACGAGGCGTGAAGGCAAGCAGGGGTGGTATTCCAAGAGAAACTAGAGAAAAAGCCTTCTTTCCACCTGAGCTAGATGATGATTACCTCTTCCCCTTTAGGCTAAAAGAAGAAACCAGCCGCCATGCTTTGCGGCTGAGACCCCCTAGCCCTGAGGGATGGCCCTGCCTCAGGCCAAATGCTCAACCAGACAGGGTTTCGTGGCCATGGTTATTAGTAAATGATCGGACCCAATATGAAACTGGCAACCAGTTAAGTCCGTTTCTATGGGGACTGGATCTCCAGGAAACCCTAAAACCTGGCACGTCGGGACTTGCAATGTCTTACCCTCGGGGTGATTCCTAAGCCCAAGTCTCAGCACCCATATGAAAAAGGCTACCAGGGCAGCTGTGTCCCCTCCTAGAGAAAGGTCCTCCAAGAACCTCACAAGGGCAGGCCTGAAACACCCCTAGAGAAAGGATGTCTTCCCAGGGGTCAGAACCCGGGACGGCCCTGTTTGCCACAGAGAAGGAACCAGCAGAGGAAACCCCATGTGGGATCTTGTTCCTTGATGTTTTCTTTTCGTTTTTTGGTTTGTTTGTTTTAAGATTTATTTGACAGACAGAGATCACAAGTGGGCAGAGAGGCAGGCAGAGAGAGAGGAGGAAGCAGGCTCCCTGCTGAACAGAGAGCCTGATGCGGGGCTCAATCCCAGGACCCTGGGATCATGACCTGAGCCAAGGGCAGAGGCTTTAACCCACCGAGCCACCCAGGCGCCCCTCCTTGATGTTTAATTCACCTTGCCTGGTGAGAAGACCACGTGCTCCGAACAGTGCTTCCTGCTCGATAGACCAAGCTTGGAAGGCGCAGGGAAACTGATGGCGCGGTCTGTAGATGGAGGGGACCTGGGGAGCCCGCTTAGAGAAGATTCCAGAGGAACAGACGGGAGTGGGTGTGCGCTGGAGATGGCGGCTCTGAGAATGGAGTCCTAGAGGCCACAGTGGAGGAAACGTGGATACGTGGATTGCCTCACATTCAGCAGGAGGAGAGATGCTTGCGTGGACTTCGTGGTATGAAGATTAAGCAACAGCAGCTGGGATAGAGCTATCTGGGAAAGCCAAAGGAATTAGGCACGTGTGTTGGGGGGTGGGGGAGGGGTAAGATAAAACAGAATGGCCCAGAGTGGACGCTGCTGGCTTTTAGGCTGCTAGGCTGTCCCTCTGGCCCCCTTCCTCACACAGAAACAACAGAAATGCCGCACATCCGCTTGACCCCTGGCCATAACGGATTCCAGCTTCCCAGGGCTTGGGACCTGGACCTAGTTCCCACTGGGTGAAGGGCTCCAGGCCACAACACCTTGGCAGGTATGATACTGGTGGGCAAAGGGGGCACGGGCAAGCAGTGCTGAGAAATCGTCCGAGAGCTCTGGGTCCGGGGCTCCAAAGCCTGGCTGCATCCCTGGGTTCCGTGAGAACACCCCATACCTTTGCTAAGAGTCCCCTTTCCTGCTTCAGCTACCAGCGCCTGATTGATTGATTTCTCCCCTTCCTTCCTTCTTCTTTTTTTTTTTTTTTTTAAGATTTTTAACTTTTAAGGAATCTCTACACCCAATGTGGCGCTCGAACTCACAGCCCGAGATTTAAGAGTTGCCCGCTCTGCTCACTGATCTGGCCAGGCACCGTTACCAGGGACTGATTTCTGACCCTTGGAGCTACTTAAGTGGGCAGGACAACGACCCGTGCTGGGGTCTGGGGTCAGCTGTGGCTGGAGAATGTGCTCAAGACATCTAATAATCAAGGGAGCCAACCGGGCCAGCCCCCCTGGGGTTCCTCCCACCCCTTCCCCCACCTCACCCTTGTGCTACACCGTGGGCCGTGCCTGGCAGCTCCAGACCACCGCAGGCTCTCTGACTCTGGGCCTTTGCTCATGCTGTTCCTTTGGCCTGGAGCGCCCTTCCCAAACTCTTCCTTTTATCCTCCGCCTCCTTATTTGCCTGGCCAGCCTGCACAGATAGCGCCCCCCGGGCCCCCCCCCCCCCCCCCCGTTGTCTAGCAGGGTCTTTCTTCCAGGCTGGATCTGCTCAAGTGTGACAGCCTGAGTACTCAGAGCTCCTGGGAGCAGGACCCCCGTGTGGACCCAGGCTGGCGTCCGGGCCCTGAGCTGGGTCCGTGTCGGGCACGTGGAGTACTACAAGTGAGTGTGTAGGAATGTGGGACCAATGAATGAATGAGAGATCCTAGTCGTGGCTGGGCACGCTTTGTCCAGTGGAAGGGGCCGGGGTCTGTAGTCAGGGGAGAGCAAGGACAAAGGTCCTGGTCCTGCCAGTGTGGGAGCCGCACCTTCATTTCATCCCAGCAGGAGCCCAGAACCCAGTGACCTGGGAGCTTCGGGGAGCCCAGCCTCCCCTCTCCGAGTCGCCCCCCCCACCCCCCATTTCACCGGAGATGTGGCCTCAGCCTGGATCTGTCCATCCCTAGGTCCTGCCCCCATGTCTAGGAAAAACCACCGCTTCAGATGGAGGATGGGAACGAGGCCCCCTCTGCTCCTCCCACCAGGCAGCCCCCCTGGCTTGCCTCCGAGCCTCCCAACCTCCTCAGTTACATGTGTTCTGAGCTGGAGACCACAGGGGCCAGAGCTTGGCAGATGCCCTCCTGGGATCCTCTGACCCCCAGGGTTCCTTCCCAGGCAGGCCTCCGCCTTCACCTCACCATCCCCCCCAGCCTGCTCTGAGGAAAGAGCAGTGGTGCAAAATTCAGTTGGGGAGAAAAACAGGAAGTGGAGCCCGAGAGCAAAGCCTGCAGTGGCTCTCCCCAGCCTCTCCCCAGCGAATGCGGCAGCCCCCTTCCACCCGCAGCCTTACAGGAAAGTGGTGAGGGGACAGCCCCAGCCCGAGTTGTCGGGGCAAGGTCAGGGGGTGGTGCAGGTGGAGAGTCCAGTCGAGACTCTTGGGCTGTACTTGCAGGGGCTGTTTTCAGGCCCAGCATTGCATCTGTGATCTGCATTTTACATCTTCTCTCACCTGCTCACAGCAGCTCCTCAAGGTGAGTCCATCCCCCCTAGTTTACAGACGAGCAAATAGACTCAGAGAAGTTAAGTGACTCGGCCAAGGCCACACAGCCTTTCCCACGGCCGGGTCATGGCTCCTTGATTCTTTCTCAGACTTTGATTTCTATTTGTGGTGTGTTTTTGTTCTGGGCCTGTGAGTGGGCAGGGGGTGGGGGGAGGACGGCAGGGGGGAGCACTGTTTCTGGCTCCTTCATCTCAGCACATCTAAGCTGGTGGTAAGAAAAGGCTTCTGAGAGCTCATCCCCTGAGACTCGGTTTCCTGCGACGTGTGAGCGGGAAGGCCCAAGCGCCCTGGTCCCTTTGCCAGGGAGGGGGTGGGCGTGCCCTGGAGGGGAAGTCAGTCAGCCAACTGACCGGCATGGGGGGTGGGCACGACCCCCGGTTAAATTAGGGACCGGTAACCTCAGCTGGCTGACAGCCCAAAGGACTCAGATCTTCAGGTGAGTCCCTCTTTCCCTTTTGGGCCTGGGACTCCGGGTAGCCCCAATTCTGTTGTTTCGGGCCTGAGCAGCGGCATGAGAACGAGAATCCAAGAGGAGGGGAGGCCGGCTCCAGGTCTGCAGACAGGGGTGGGGTGATGAGGTGGGGCGAGAACCCTCCGAAGGTCACCCCACCCAGTCCTGCACGTGGACCCTCACTCTCCCAGCCCCGGGACGCGACGCCCAGTTCACCCAGCTCACCCGTGCCAGGACAAACCACCGGGACGTCTGGGGACCCCCCCACCCAGAGTTCCACCCCAAGCCTTTCCTGGCCCTCGCTTCCACAGCTCTGAGTCCTCAAGGTGGGAGATGGCCCTTCCAGCCCTCGTTTCTCCCAGGCCTTGACGGGAGGCCTCGCCCCGAGCTTCACCCACCTCCTTCCTGACCATTGCCTCTTTACCTCCAGCTGCCTCTGGACATCCTCCCACATTCCACAGAACGCTCGAGTGGACTTTCCCAGTCCCACCAAGCCTGGTCACCCCCCAGAGAAGGCACTGCTCCCCCCCCCCGCTCCCCCCCCCAGTCTCTGAGGCTGAAACCACAGTGTGTCATGCTGTGGCCTTCACTCACCGGCCACGACGGAGGTGCCTTTCCCAGAAGCCTGGGGCTGTCAGACCACAGCAGAAGTCAGGTGTGGACAGGCCAGGAGGCATGGTCTGCCTCACGGGTCCCTCTGCTTCTCTCTGAGTGGGGGGCGGGCTCTGAGGCCCGAAGGCTGGGAAACAAGAGAGGCTCGGGCCTCGGAGGCGTCTCTGCCTCCTTCTGCCGACTTTGGGTAGCGGTTCCCACCCCAGGGTCATTGGGATGCAGCTTTCCTTTGTAGAGAACACCCAGCCTCTGTCCCCAGCCACTCCACATTAAAGGGAGCTATTAAAATGAGGTGTTATGGCACACCTGGCTGGCTCAGTCCGGGGAGTCTGGGACTCCTGATCTCCGTCAGAGTCGTGAGTTCAAGCCCCACACTGGGCGTGGAGCCTACCTAAAATAAATTAGTTCAAATTAAAAAAAAATAAATGATCTGTTATATGTAAATATGTAAATGGTCTGTTATATGGTTAGAACAATGCTGACCCTTAGGGCTCAGTACATGTGTATTATCATCACCATCTAATTTAATCTTTTTTTAAAAAGATTTTATTTATTTATTTGATAGATCACAAGTAGGCAGAGAGGCAGGCAGAGAGAGAGAGGGAAGCAGGCTCCCCACTGAGCAGAGAGCCCGATGTGCGCCTTGATTCTAGGACCCTGAGATCATGCCCTGAGCTGAAGGCAGAGGCTTTAACCCACTGAGCCACCCGGGCGCCCCATCACCATCGAATTTAATCTTTACGACACTCCTGTGAGGTCAGGATAATGCGCCCATTTTGCAGGTGGTGGAAGTGAAGACGTGCTCACGTTCAGGCAGTATTAAGTGGCTGAACAGGGATTTAAAGCGAAGTCTGTAGGAGGCTGGGTCTGGAGGCCGGCTTTGGATGCACACCGACCCCCCCTAACCCGCACCACCCACACACCGGCCCTGGGCTGCCCCCACCCCCGCAGGAGGACAGGCCCGGGTGCAAGGCTGCACCCGTTGGAGAGGCAGAGGTGGAGTCTGGGGCGGGGCCTCCCGGCCGGCCCGCCCCAATTCTCGCCTGGGGCGCCGACCTCGCGGCGTCCTGGTTGGGCTCCAGGGAAGCACGGGCGCCACCTGGCGGCCGTGGGGCGTCAACGCCACCACTGTCCCAGCCGCGCTCAGCCGCGCTCAGCCGCGCTCAGCCGCGCTCAGCCGCGCTCAGCCGCGCTCAGCCCGCGCTCCGGCCGCGCGTTTGGCTAAGCTGTGCCGGGCGGGACTCCGCCAAGCTAACGATCTGTGCCCACGGAGTTCCCTTTCCTTCTTAACCAGCTTGCTCCGGGGCTGGGGGCGAGCGCGGAAACCCTCGCGTGCCTGCGCTTGGGCTGCTGCTGGTTTGCTGGAAGGCGGCGGCAAGCTCATTTTGCTGAAAATGTGTGTTTCTCGATGCTTCCTCTTCCTTCTCCGTTCCTGCACGCAAGAGCCAGATGATTCCAGAGCCGCTTTTCGGCCGGGCTTGGGGCCAGGCAGCGCAGGCCCAGCCCCCACCCCTCTCGCCAGCCCGCCCACTCCTCGCGGTTCCGGGGCTTCCAGCAGCAGAGTCTCCCCTCGCCACAGGGCTTCCCTCCCAGCTCTCCAGCGCCTCCCCTGCAGCCCTGTGCGCTCCCAACCGGGGCGTCTGGCAGTCCCCTCCAACCGAATGGGACCCCAACCCAGCTTCCCTCCCAACCTAGCCAAGTCCTTGACTTCCTTCCTGCCTCAGTGAAAGTGGTGCCTCTTCGCCCCTTGGCCAAAGCAGAAGCCCGCCTCACGGTTCACTGCTCCCTCCTCTGCCACCGCTGCAGGTGTCGCCGAACCTCGTGGTCTGAGCCACCATCAAGAGGCGGGGCGCTGAGTTTCACTCACCCATTCAACACGTGTCAAAGGCCACCAGACACGGTCCTGTGACCCGAGGATACTGTGACAAATGTCCCTGCCTCCAGAACATTCAGGTGGGGGCCGGGGCAGATGGTTCAGAGATAAGAAACAAATACATTTATAATACCTTGCAAGGTGGGTGGTACTACAGAGAGCAAAGCAGGGTAGGGGGTCAGCAGACCAGGTGTCCCCCTCACCCTGCTTGGGCTCCACATCCCACCCACCCCCCATCCCACCCCCCACCCCAGTCAGGCAGCTGCTGTCCTCACCCTACATGTTCCCTTTCTGACTCTATGGGTTACTGACCCCAGGCGAGGATTCCCCCTCTTTTCTCATTCCCTCAGGCTCTGATACCTCCTCACCAGGCCTGGGGTCCGACACCCTCTCCCGGCCACCGAGGGGAGCTGCTGGCTGGTCCCCTTCTCCCCCCGCCACCCTCCGGCCCCCTGCCCTGTGCCCTTTGGACTGAATTGTAAAGGAGGAAAGGGAAGGAAGGGGAGGAGGCAGAGAGGGTAGTGGTCCCTCAAATGGATATTTTGAAATTTTCACACCCTCCTAATAGCAGAAAGAGTAGCTCAGTGAATGCCATACACCCTAAAGAAAGGTGTCTTCCAATAACGGAGGAACAGTCTGGTGGGAACTGGATGGGGTGGGGGTAGGAGGGGGGCGATCGGGTGCCGGTGGAGGGGCCAGCCCTAGAGGACTGTGTGGACAGTCCAGCCACAGGCAGGAGGGCAGGGGCAGGGAAGCTTGTCCACAGGCAGGTGCTATAACCCACGAGTCCATGCACCTCTCGCCCGCATTTTGCGGGTTTTGTTCTGTGCAGTGGGAAGCAAGCGTATTGGCTGACAGAGGAGAGGGGAGGAGATGCTGAGAATGAGGCCGGGAAGCGAGGGTGTTGGAAAGTCTCCCCAGGAGCCCCCCAGCATGCCCCCAGGAGAGGAGTTGTGGGGCTGCAGAAGGCCCCTTGGGGTTTGGTGACCATGCAGCCAGTGGGACCCAAAGTGAGACCCAAACGCGTGCCTGCTTTTCTCCTGATGTTGGGCTTTGGTCCCAGTGGGTCTGCACCTGCCCCTCCATCTTCTCTTCCTGCCCCCTGAGTGGCTGCCCCTGCCTACCTGTCCTCACCCACGGAACAGCTGCTCGGTCCGAACACCTAGCCCAGTTACCTGTCCCCTAGCGACAGGGGCCCACGTCCCAGGCTTCCCATCCTTGGGGTTGGGGCCGAGTGGAGTGAGTTGGGTAAGCTGGAGGCCTCCTCCCTGCACCCCCCTCCCGGAGAGGCACAGGGACAAATGGTCCAGCCAAGTCCCGCCTAGAGGGCTTCCAAGATCCTGGCACAACCGGGCTGGTTCCTTACCTCCCCCTGCCCAGGGCCTCTCTGGCTGATGCTGGTATGAGCTGGATTCTCCCACTTTCTCACCTGGCACATTTCAGCCAAGGCTTCTGACCCCAGGGTCTTCCCTCTCACCTGTCTGTCCTCCAGTGCTCTTCCCCTCCCCTCCCCAGTCAGGCTCCCTAAGTAACAAGCGCTGGTTTGTTGCCCGTGAAACAGACAAGGCTCCTTTACACTGTGGACTCTTCCCAGCTCACAACAGCTTCTAAGAGGCAGGAAGCAATTCCCAAATTTTTGTTTTTGTTTCTGCTTTTTTCCAGAAGGAAACGGCGTCTTGGCAGAGTAATTAATTTTTCCAAGGTGAGTGGACCAGTAGCTCCCTTGTAGAGGTAGAATTCCACCAGCTCCGTCCTTTCCGAGCCCGCCTTCTTCCCACGGAGCGGCTGGATTGTCCCCGAACTCCTCCTCTCACGTTCTGGATGTGCACACAGAAATTACCGAAGCCGGAGTGCTTGTATACACGGAGACTGCCCGGAAGTTGACCGGAGATCCTTGTGGCTTTCATGTGCCGCGGTCCTGATTCCCGAGGATAGCCACCGTAGCAGTCCGGTGGGAGTCCCTTCCTGCCAGCACCGGCTAGGTAATCGTGGGGCCTGGTGCAAAACGAAAAGGTGGGCCCCAGGTTCAAAAATAATGAAGATTTTCAAGATGGCACAGCAGACCAGTAGTGGAGCGTGGGGCCCTTCTGAGTGTGGGGGGCTGTGTTGCGGCACGGGCCTCACGCTGCTAAGGCTAGCTCTGCTCCCCGGTTTGCTTCTTCAGTGCACTCCCCAAATATGTTCAGGTCTTTAACTGAGCACAAAAAGCCAGCCTCGGGGCGCCTGAAGCCTCTGCCTTCAGCTTGGGTCATGGTCTCAGGGTCCTGGGATCGAACCCCGCATGGGGCTTTCTGCTCAGCGGGGAGCCTGCTTCTCCCTCTCTCTCTCTTCCTGCCTCTCTGCCTACTTGTGGTCTCTGTCTGTCAAATAAATAAATAAAATGTTAAAAAAAAAAAAAAACCAGCTTCCTCACATGCCATTCTGCAAGCGGCATCTGCTTTTTTATTTATGAAGAATGACACGCAGTGCTGTGCACCAGGCACTTGGCCTGCCTGTCTCCTTTTCAGTGCGATGAGGTAGGGATCCCGGGTTAGGGACCAAACGTCCTTGTCCCCCTTACACAGCTGAAGGAACGGAGGCACAAGAGGAAGTGCAGGTCGTCCGGGGCTGCGGTGTGAAGGGCGGACAGCGGGAGGTTTGCTCTGGGGTTTGCCTTGCTGACCTACCTCTACCTGGTTTCTCCTGAGGCAGACCGTGGGTGGCGAGGCGACGTCCGGGTCGGCGCATGCAGAGGTCTCTCTCCTCGCTGCCAGCAGCCCTCAGATGCTTCCCCGGCTGGAGAGATGCCGTCTTCATTTCATCAGTTTCTCGATTCATGACCAAGCTGCCTTTCTGGGGAGAGGGTGTTTCCACGTGGGGGATTGGGAGCTTGTGGTCTGAGCCGAGTCCCAGCCAGTGGGAATGTCCAGTCCTCAGGAGAAGGAGAGGGCAGCGCCAGGGGAACGTTTCACCTGGAACGTGCAGGCGGAGGATAAGAGCGTGGACCGAGCAGGTGTGCGCCGTCAGGCAGGTGCCAGGAGTGGGGGGTGGGGGAGGGAGGAGCCCTCATCAGGGGGCTGGCTCTGGGCTGGGGGCCGGTGCCGGTGGCCTGACAGTCACAGGAGCTCTGGGCCTCATCTCCACAGCTGGTGAGAGAGAAATCCAGCTCAAGTGCAGGGACGGCTGCGTCCGTACGGACACCGGGAAGGTCCGGGTTAGACCCCTGCAGCCTCAGTAACAAGGAACCACAAAGTGCGTGGCTTGAAACCACACATGTGCCCCATGTGACAGTCCCTCAGGTCAGAGGTGTCACAGGGCTCTCACTGGGCTCAGCTCAGTGCAGGAGTCGGGGCCGCATTCCTTGTAGAGGACACGGGAGAATCCGCTCCTGGCCCTTGCCAGCTGCTCAGACGCGCCCACGTGCCGTGGCTTGTGACCCTTCCGCATCTTCGCGGCCAGCAGCGCAGCACCTCCGACCTCTCTGAGTCCGGCGGCTCCAGGAATTAGGGTGCAGACATCTTCGGGGGCCGTGCATTATTCTGCCTGCCGCCACGTCCCTTTAATTAAGTTGGGGGCCACGCATCTGAGACAGTGATAGTTTTTAAAAACCTCTTCTTTATTTATTTATTTATTTATTTTTTTTTTTAAAGATTTTATTTATTTGTCAGAGAGAGAGTACACACAAGCAGGCAGAGAGGCAGGCAGAGAGAGAGGAGGAAGCAGGCTCCCTGCCGAGCGCGCTCCGGCCGCGCGTTTGGCTAAGCTGTGCCGGGCGGGACTCCGCCAAGCTAACGATCTGTGCCCACGGAGTTCCCTTTCCTTCTTAACCAGCTTGCTCCGGGGCTGGGGGCGAGCGCGGAAACCCTCGCGTGCCTGCGCTTGGGCTGCTGCTGGTTTGCTGGAAGGCGGCGGCAAGCTCATTTTGCTGAAAATGTGTGTTTCTCGATGCTTCCTCTTCCTTCTCCGTTCCTGCACGCAAGAGCCAGATGATTCCAGAGCCGCTTTTCGGCCGGGCTTGGGGCCAGGCAGCGCAGGCCCAGCCCCCACCCCTCTCGCCAGCCCGCCCACTCCTCGCGGTTCCGGGGCTTCCAGCAGCAGAGTCTCCCCTCGCCACAGGGCTTCCCTCCCAGCTCTCCAGCGCCTCCCCTGCAGCCCTGTGCGCTCCCAACCGGGGCGTCTGGCAGTCCCCTCCAACCGAATGGGACCCCAACCCAGCTTCCCTCCCAACCTAGCCAAGTCCTTGACTTCCTTCCTGCCTCAGTGAAAGTGGTGCCTCTTCGCCCCTTGGCCAAAGCAGAAGCCCGCCTCACGGTTCACTGCTCCCTCCTCTGCCACCGCTGCAGGTGTCGCCGAACCTCGTGGTCTGAGCCACCATCAAGAGGCGGGGCGCTGAGTTTCACTCACCCATTCAACACGTGTCAAAGGCCACCAGACACGGTCCTGTGACCCGAGGATACTGTGACAAATGTCCCTGCCTCCAGAACATTCAGGTGGGGGCCGGGGCAGATGGTTCAGAGATAAGAAACAAATACATTTATAATACCTTGCAAGGTGGGTGGTACTACAGAGAGCAAAGCAGGGTAGGGGGTCAGCAGACCAGGTGTCCCCCTCACCCTGCTTGGGCTCCACATCCCCCCCACCCCCCATCCCACCCCCCACCCCAGTCAGGCAGCTGCTGTCCTCACCCTACATGTTCCCTTTCTGACTCTATGGGTTACTGACCCCAGGCGAGGATTCCCCCTCTTTTCTCATTCCCTCAGGCTCTGATACCTCCTCACCAGGCCTGGGGTCCGACACCCTCTCCCGGCCACCGAGGGGAGCTGCTGGCTGGTCCCCTTCTCCCCCCGCCACCCTCCGGCCCCCTGCCCTGTGCCCTTTGGACTGAATTGTAAAGGAGGAAAGGGAAGGAAGGGGAGGAGGCAGAGAGGGTAGTGGTCCCTCAAATGGATATTTTGAAATTTTCACACCCTCCTAATAGCAGAAAGAGTAGCTCAGTGAATGCCATACACCCTAAAGAAAGGTGTCTTCCAATAACGGAGGAACAGTCTGGTGGGAACTGGATGGGGTGGGGGTAGGAGGGGGGCGATCGGGTGCCGGTGGAGGGGCCAGCCCTAGAGGACTGTGTGGACAGTCCAGCCACAGGCAGGAGGGCAGGGGCAGGGAAGCTTGTCCACAGGCAGGTGCTATAACCCACGAGTCCATGCACCTCTCGCCCGCATTTTGCGGGTTTTGTTCTGTGCAGTGGGAAGCAAGCGTATTGGCTGACAGAGGAGAGGGGAGGAGATGCTGAGAATGAGGCCGGGAAGCGAGGGTGTTGGAAAGTCTCCCCAGGAGCCCCCCAGCATGCCCCCAGGAGAGGAGTTGTGGGGCTGCAGAAGGCCCCTTGGGGTTTGGTGACCATGCAGCCAGTGGGACCCAAAGTGAGACCCAAACGCGTGCCTGCTTTTCTCCTGATGTTGGGCTTTGGTCCCAGTGGGTCTGCACCTGCCCCTCCATCTTCTCTTCCTGCCCCCTGAGTGGCTGCCCCTGCCTACCTGTCCTCACCCACGGAACAGCTGCTCGGTCCGAACACCTAGCCCAGTTACCTGTCCCCTAGCGACAGGGGCCCACGTCCCAGGCTTCCCATCCTTGGGGTTGGGGCCGAGTGGAGTGAGTTGGGTAAGCTGGAGGCCTCCTCCCTGCACCCCCCTCCCGGAGAGGCACAGGGACAAATGGTCCAGCCAAGTCCCGCCTAGAGGGCTTCCAAGATCCTGGCACAACCGGGCTGGTTCCTTACCTCCCCCTGCCCAGGGCCTCTCTGGCTGATGCTGGTATGAGCTGGATTCTCCCACTTTCTCACCTGGCACATTTCAGCCAAGGCTTCTGACCCCAGGGTCTTCCCTCTCACCTGTCTGTCCTCCAGTGCTCTTCCCCTCCCCTCCCCAGTCAGGCTCCCTAAGTAACAAGCGCTGGTTTGTTGCCCGTGAAACAGACAAGGCTCCTTTACACTGTGGACTCTTCCCAGCTCACAACAGCTTCTAAGAGGCAGGAAGCAATTCCCAAATTTTTGTTTTTGTTTCTGCTTTTTTCCAGAAGGAAACGGCGTCTTGGCAGAGTAATTAATTTTTCCAAGGTGAGTGGACCAGTAGCTCCCTTGTAGAGGTAGAATTCCACCAGCTCCGTCCTTTCCGAGCCCGCCTTCTTCCCACGGAGCGGCTGGATTGTCCCCGAACTCCTCCTCTCACGTTCTGGATGTGCACACAGAAATTACCGAAGCCGGAGTGCTTGTATACACGGAGACTGCCCGGAAGTTGACCGGAGATCCTTGTGGCTTTCATGTGCCGCGGTCCTGATTCCCGAGGATAGCCACCGTAGCAGTCCGGTGGGAGTCCCTTCCTGCCAGCACCGGCTAGGTAATCGTGGGGCCTGGTGCAAAACGAAAAGGTGGGCCCCAGGTTCAAAAATAATGAAGATTTTCAAGATGGCACAGCAGACCAGTAGTGGAGCGTGGGGCCCTTCTGAGTGTGGGGGGCTGTGTTGCGGCACGGGCCTCACGCTGCTAAGGCTAGCTCTGCTCCCCGGTTTGCTTCTTCAGTGCACTCCCCAAATATGTTCAGGTCTTTAACTGAGCACAAAAAGCCAGCCTCGGGGCGCCTGAAGCCTCTGCCTTCAGCTTGGGTCATGGTCTCAGGGTCCTGGGATCGAACCCCGCATGGGGCTTTCTGCTCAGCGGGGAGCCTGCTTCTCCCTCTCTCTCTCTTCCTGCCTCTCTGCCTACTTGTGGTCTCTGTCTGTCAAATAAATAAATAAAATGTTAAAAAAAAAAAAAAACCAGCTTCCTCACATGCCATTCTGCAAGCGGCATCTGCTTTTTTATTTATGAAGAATGACACGCAGTGCTGTGCACCAGGCACTTGGCCTGCCTGTCTCCTTTTCAGTGCGATGAGGTAGGGATCCCGGGTTAGGGACCAAACGTCCTTGTCCCCCTTACACAGCTGAAGGAACGGAGGCACAAGAGGAAGTGCAGGTCGTCCGGGGCTGCGGTGTGAAGGGCGGACAGCGGGAGGTTTGCTCTGGGGTTTGCCTTGCTGACCTACCTCTACCTGGTTTCTCCTGAGGCAGACCGTGGGTGGCGAGGCGACGTCCGGGTCGGCGCATGCAGAGGTCTCTCTCCTCGCTGCCAGCAGCCCTCAGATGCTTCCCCGGCTGGAGAGATGCCGTCTTCATTTCATCAGTTTCTCGATTCATGACCAAGCTGCCTTTCTGGGGAGAGGGTGTTTCCACGTGGGGGATTGGGAGCTTGTGGTCTGAGCCGAGTCCCAGCCAGTGGGAATGTCCAGTCCTCAGGAGAAGGAGAGGGCAGCGCCAGGGGAACGTTTCACCTGGAACGTGCAGGCGGAGGATAAGAGCGTGGACCGAGCAGGTGTGCGCCGTCAGGCAGGTGCCGGGAGTGGGGGGTGGGGGAGGGAGGAGCCCTCATCAGGGGGCTGGCTCTGGGCTGGGGGCCGGTGCCGGTGGCCTGACAGTCACAGGAGCTCTGGGCCTCATCTCCACAGCTGGTGAGAGAGAAATCCAGCTCAAGTGCAGGGACGGCTGCGTCCGTACGGACACCGGGAAGGTCCGGGTTAGACCCCTGCAGCCTCAGTAACAAGGAACCACAAAGTGCGTGGCTTGAAACCACACATGTGCCCCATGTGACAGTCCCTCAGGTCAGAGGTGTCACAGGGCTCTCACTGGGCTCAGCTCAGTGCAGGAGTCGGGGCCGCATTCCTTGTAGAGGACACGGGAGAATCCGCTCCTGGCCCTTGCCAGCTGCTCAGACGCGCCCACGTGCCGTGGCTTGTGACCCTTCCGCATCTTCGCGGCCAGCAGCGCAGCACCTCCGACCTCTCTGAGTCCGGCGGCTCCAGGAATTAGGGTGCAGACATCTTCGGGGGCCGTGCATTATTCTGCCTGCCGCCACGTCCCTTTAATTAAGTTGGGGGCCACGCATCTGAGACAGTGATAGTTTTTAAAAACCTCTTCTTTATTTATTTATTTATTTATTTTTTTTTTTAAAGATTTTATTTATTTGTCAGAGAGAGAGTACACACAAGCAGGCAGAGAGGCAGGCAGAGAGAGAGGAGGAAGCAGGCTCCCTGCCGAGCAAGGAGCCCGATGCGGGACTCGATCCCAGGACCCCAGGATCATGACCTGAGCCGAAGGCAGTGGCTTAACCCACTGAGCCACCCAGGCGTCCCAAACCTCTTCTTTTTTTAAAAAAGTAAACCTTTAGGGTTATAATTCATGTAGTGCAAACTGCATCCATCTGGAGTGTCCTGTTGGCTGAGTTTTGTTTTTGTTTTTTTAAAGATTTTATTTATTTATTTATTTGACAGAGACCACAAGTAGGCAGAGAGGCAGGCAGAGAGAGAGGGGGAAGCAGGCTCCCCGCTGAGCAGAGAGCCCGATGCGGGGCTCCATCCCAGGACCCTGGGATCATGACCTGAGCCAAAGGCAGGGGCTTAACCCACTGAGCCACCCAGTCGCCCCTTGGCTGAGTTTTGACAAACGTATTCACCCTTGAAACACTGTCTGTCAGAATGGGGACGGTTCCCATCACTCCTCCGGATTCCTTGGGCCCCTTTGAATCCATCCTTCCTCTGCCCCAGTCCCAGGTAACTACTGATCTGTTATATATCTATTTCTAGTTACAAAACCCAATATTTATTGAGAACAAAGAAAACACAGAGGGCACAGAGGCCCAATTTCAGTTCATCAAACTTCAGCTGAGGATGGGAAATGGGAGAGGGGTGGGCAGCCAGCCCTGAAGTCACCCTCCCAGGAGGAGCCAGCTCTGGGAGAGAGGGGCTGTCCCGCCTCAGGGCCCATTGGGAGTTGGGGGGATGCGGGGGGGTGGCGGGTGGCGGGGGCATGGCCCAGGTCCGAGTTGCAGGAGGTGGCAAGAGAAGACAGCAGCGCCCTCAGGTGTGGGACAGGAGTGGCAAGTGACAGGGAGAGGGTCATCCCCTCTCAGGGGTTGGCTGGGGGCCGGAGCTGAGTTCGGGCCACAGCTCTGGGTGGGGGTTTGTTTTGTTGTTGTTGTTTGTTAATTACTATAAATTCGTTTATGTTTTCCAGAATTTTACAAAAATGATGCCGTAGTCCTCATTTGTGTCTAGTTTCTTTGGCTTAACATAGTGGCTTGGAGACCTGCCGTGCTCTGGCTGCGGGAGCAGCCTGGCCCTCGTTTTTAGGCAGTGTTCTGTTCTGCGGGTATCTCCATCTACCCAGTGATGGACATTTAAGCTGCTCTCAGTTTTTGACATTGTGATAAAGCTGCTATGAATTTCATGTGTGGGGTCTGTGCCAGGAGTGGGGGTGCTGGGTCACGTGGTAACTCGGTGCGTAGCATATCATGAGGTCTCCTCCAAACCCTCACCCACACTTCCGCTGTCTGTGTCCGTCGTTTCTGGCTGTCCCCAGGGGGTGAGGTGAGGTCTCACATACTTTTGATTTCCATTTCTCTAATGACTACATGGTGAGTGACTGCTAGTGGGCACGGGGTTTCCTTTTGGGGTGATGAAAATGTTCTGGAATTAGGCAGTGGTGATGTGTATACAGTGGTGATCAGTTAGGAACCAAGTGGAAGAGGGAAGACATTTGTCGGGGGAAGTGCCTGAGAAAAATATTCAAGTGACTGTCCCATTAAGCAATGATATTATAAAATGACCAGTTCCCCACATTCTGTCATTTTAAAAAAATAACCTTTTTGGTTTAGAATAGTTTGAGATTTACAGAGAAGCTAGAACAGAGTTTCTGTGCACCCCACATCTGCTTTCGCTGATTGCTCGAATCTCATATTGTTGTTGTGATCCTGTCGAAATGAATGAACCCGTAACACTATTAGAGAAACTCCATAACAAGGTTCTGTTTTTATGTGGATAACATTTAGGAACCGCATACCATTTGCATGTATCCTAATGATTTGGGGTGGGGGGAAATTCCAGTTTAACAAAACATGTTTAAAAGCAACTGGGGGCACTGGGTGGGCTCAGTTGGTTAAGCATCTAACTTTGGCTCAGGTCATGATCCCTGCTCAGTGGGGCATCTGCTTGTCCCTCTTCCCAGCCCCAGCTTGTGCATGGAGGCTCTCTCTCTCTCTCAAATGAATGAAATCTGAAAAACAAATAAATTTTAAAAAGCAACTTGGGGTGCCTGGGTGGCTCAGTAGGTTGGGCATCTGACTCTTGATTTCAGCTCAGGCCATGATCTCAGGGTTGTAAGATCGAGCCCCACACTGGGAGACCATCCCTTTGCTGCTGCACTCCTCTCTATGAGGGCCTCCCTGCTGGCCAGCAGATTCAGCCTGACGTCTTTCTCTTCGTTCAGGTCACAGCAGGTCGGTGGCCAGACTGGTCAGGACATTCGCAAATGGCTGTCTCCCCTTTCTCCTCCCGAGAGACTCCCCATTCTCGGACCCCCAGCCAGCACAAGTGCCTCAGCTCTGAATGTGGGTGACAGGCACCTTCTCCTGAACCAGGAAGTCAGACTGGTCGCCCGGTGACCTCCAGTAGGAGACTGGAGCTGGGTTTCCATCCTGACACCCCCACTGACCCTCATGGCCTGGGGACCCTCTGGCATACAGGTGCAGGGGAGGGGGGGTCAAAGCTTGTGTCACTCAGGCCTTTGCAACCTGAAGTGCTATAAACCGTCAGGACCCCTTCCCTCAGACCAGCCTTCTGCCCCCTTCTGCCCCCACCCCCGCCCCCACCTCAAACTCTCCTCCCCCTACTTCTAGGGTCGTGGGTTTCCGGGGTGGGGAGGGGCTTTGGCTGCCTCCTGGCCTTTGCTGTCCTACCTGATGTTCTGACAGTAGCTCATTATTTGTGACTGTTCTTTTAATCCTGTGTCCCCTTGTCCCCCGGCACGGTAAAGCCTAGGGGGACAGGAACAAGCCCCCCTTGGAGATGGAATATGCGTGACCTCAAGCCTCTCTGGGGTACCTGGTCTCCGTCCCCCAGCCTGCCCCCATCCCCCAGCTCACCATCTGCTCCAGTCCCCTGAGCTAGCACCTGGCTCTCTCCCCTGGCTTTGGGGGGCCCTGCATGTCTCTCCCGTCACCTCTCCTCGGAGCTGAGACCTGGAAACACCTGCATGCTGGCCGCCTTGTGGACATCTCGTTCATTCATTCCACAGTATTTCGTGAGCCTCCACTATGAGCTGAGGCCATCTGCCCGGGTAGGTCACCTTCCAAAGGGGAGGCAGCCACTACGGGGATTGAAGAGAAGCAACAGGAGGCTGAGGGACAAAGTCACGGGGGGTCCAGACAGAGGAAACCTCTCAAAGCAGGAGGCCTTTGAGTGGTGCCCACGGCTGCAGTGAGGGGAGGAGGAGGGCTCTGGGCAGGGAGCCCAGGGGCCCGGTCCACCAGCCGTCTCCAAAGCATCCTACACAAACGCGCACAGCTGAGTTTCACAAGACCTGTGCTCTGCCGTCCCCCTCCTAGTTTCCCTAGTTAGGAGGGGCCCTTCCACCCAGCCACCTGCGTGTGCTGCAAGCCCGGAGGCCCGCCTGGAGACCGCCCCGCCCCCACCTCCCATGGCTGAGTCCTGTGGGTCGTCCTGGGAATCGGCCTGTGTCCTCCCTCCTCCTGTTCTCACTGCACCTGCTCTCCCCGGAGCCAGGCGGC